TACTTTCCGTACAGATTATATTCTTAAGCATTTACATAAATCTATTAACAAGGGAAAATGTGTTTGTGTTTTATAGAGATGTGTGAATTTAATGCATTTGTCTCATACAAACACTTACCATATTCCAACAGCAACTGCCAAAATGGAATCTCACACCTTTCCACCCTCCCACTCCATGATCAATGTCTTCGGACTCTGTACCACTTTCTCACCTGGATAATTCCTGCTCATAATTTAGGTCACAGCTTCAATGATACTTTTCCAGGAAACCTTTGCTAATCTGCCCTTTACCCTAATAAGATTAGGTTCTCCAGTTAAACACTCTTACCTTTCCTATTGCACTTACCACAATTGTAAATATCTGTTTTTGTATTGATTTGTTTAATGTCTACCTCCCTCATGAAAATATAAGCTAGCAGCAGCACAATTCCAAGTACATAATAAGTGTTCATAAATATTTGTATGAATGAATGATTTTTTATTCCAGGAAGCCAGACACAAACCCAACTCAGCTAGACATCAGGTAGGAGTGTCCAAGTGGTCTAAGGCGCCAGACTCGAGTTAGACATCATGTTTCTCATGTCTCTTGTTGGGATATAAGCTTAGAATGTATATTATCACCTGTGTACTGGGTACCCTTATTTATTAGAACATATGTTTTCAAATATAATACCATCACATTATTCACAGTATATTCTTTTGACCTTGCAATACAGTCTACTGTCTCTATACTTAGTACTCCCTTTTTCATTTCTAATATTATTTGTGTCCTCCCCTCCCTCTTTGTTTCTGTAACTGATCACGTTTGCCAGATGTATATGTGTTTGGAGTATCTTTCAAAGAATCATCTTTTGCTTTGTTGACCTTTTCTACTATTCTACTATTTCTACTATTAATTTTTCTACTATTCTATTTTATTTGTTTTTGTAATATTTTGTATTATCCCTTACCTGTATCTGGGTTTACTCTATTTGCCCTTTTTTGGCTGAATGCTTAACTCACTAATAACCAGCATTCCTTTATTTTTAATATATGAATTTGTGAATCTCTAAGTGTCCCTCTGTGTATCCCTTTAACTATACCCCACAAGATTTAAAATAAAGTATCTACTAATTTCTCTTGTCACTTTTCTTTGACTCAAAAATCATTTGGATGTATGATCTTGAGTTTCCAAATGTATGAAGTTCTTGATGTCTATTGGTTTTTCAGCTCTGAATTTTTTCTTCGCTGGGATAAAAATTATAGCCAAAAGAATTTATATTCATCAGTGTTCAGACTTTCTACATGTAAATATTCTCTGCTAATGGAGTTCTAAGTCCTATATATGTCCATTTGATCAGTTTTATTATGTCAGTCTTCTTTATCCTGTCTAATTTTTTAAGTTATTTTATTTATCAGTGTCTGAGAGACTATGTTTGGAACTCCCCAATTATGATTACCTATATTCTCAATATCTCAGGATGATTCTGTCAATTTTTATTTTATATATTTTTGAAATGATGCTGGTCAGTAGTGTAGGTTCAAGATTAATATATCTTCCTAGTGAATTGTTTCTTTATCATTAAATAACCTTAATGATGCTTTTTGTTTTAAAGCATATTTTGTCTAATATTGAAACAGCATCCACCAGTTTTCTTTTGAAAGGTTTTTGTATGGACTATTATATCAATTTCCATCTATTTTCTTTCAATCCTCCTATCCCTAATAGGGGTGTCCCTTGTAAGTAGTTTTTAAAGAGTATATACCTGTTTTTCCTTCCCTATCCAATGTAAAAATCTTCATCTACTGACAGCTAAAATTAATCACTTTCGTATTACAATTCCTGATATGTTTGGCCTTATTTCAACCATCAAACTGATCTACAATTTCCGCAGAATTAGGGATTATGTAAATGTATCGAGTACTGCACACCACAGCAAGAACTTCTGTGTCTAGCTTATGCTTGTAATTTCACTATTCTTGCTAAATCATTTAGACACATCAGCAAACTGTATTCTCTTAAAGCTGGAAGGTAATAAATCCTTATAAAATAATACCTACACATAAAATCCCAAATTAAGATGTCCAGTCCACTACTGCATCTCCTTACCTATAACATGAATATAAAAGAATCCATTGCCTCCTCCGACGCTGCTGTTCTTCCCTCTCCCCCATTACCCCATTTTTTTTTCATTTCTATCTGATGCCACCCTTATTCTGTCTCTCCCTCCCCCACTCTAGCTCTCTTCATCTCTTCCCCCGAAGACCGTGTTAATAACTTCTCTCTCACTGCCTCCATCTTATTCCTGTTCCATTCAAATTCACCCTCTAGTTAAATGAGGGCCTTGTATTTTCAAGTAAGAAATTTCAACTCTGCCCTGCAGGTCAGCGCCTCTCAAACTGAAATCCGGTGGCATAGTCTCATGGCTCCAAAGATCCTGGGAGAATTTTTATTTTAATTTATGGCTCAATCTAATGAACATTCTAAAGGATCTAATGACAACGCGATAACCGAGCTGTGCTTTCCAACAGCAGTGCCTGGGTGTGTCCTTCTTTTCCCCCTCATCCACTCTCTTCGGCTCTCAGTGTCACTGGCACCAAACGATTGCCTAAAGTGACCGCTTTTAACTTTCAATGTATCAGTAAGCATATCTGGTTGTTAGGTTGGTATGTCCTAATGCTAAAATTGTCCCGAGTCTGCCATTGTGCTCTTTAGTGGAGATGATTTGCAACTGAAAGATATTGTTACCAAATAAGGCTTTAATTTATGAAGTTATTTAATTAATGGAGACTTTGATATGACATCATAAAAACTCATAGTGTGGCAGAGTAATGGTCTATTTTAATTGTTATGGACTAATGAGAAAAGAACAAAGGCAGAATTAATATGTAAATGATGTGTTTATATCAAATGAAAGCCAAATGATATTACAGGACACTGTACAAAAGAAGGTTTCCCAATCTTTCAAATAGAGAAAAGCAGTGAGAAAATTAAGTCATCATATGGCTCAGAGTAGTAAAGGCATGCAAATGAAAAGAACCTTTACCAGGATTTGGAAACCGGGAGGAATGCAAATTTGCTGGAAGAGCTCAGGTGGTTTACTCTGATTGTTTCTATTTTTCTGAAGAATTATGAAGTGAAGGCATCAGCTGAGTGGGAGAAATGGGGATGGGAGTTGGGAGGCTCGAGGCATAGGTGAAGGTCTAAAAGAGTTGTCTCAGAGAGCAGGAGTACTAAATAAATAAGGTAGGATTGTCAAGTGGGGCAGAGGATCTATTTGACATTAGTGGACATAAATTTAAGGTAAGTCCATAAAACTTAGTGTTCTTCTCCATCCATCTGCACTCAGACCCAAAGCAAACAGAAAGTTCAGTGAGAGTCAAGAGTTATGCCAGATGAAGATGATAGAGATGACAGCAACTAAGCTTGGTGAGGAGGGAAGTGAGGGCATGAGAGGAATAAAGATCAGTGCAGAACAACAGTAGGTCCATAGACTGGAGGCCCCAAGGAGTAAAAGAACTATGGGAGTAGGAATGTTGGTGTCACATGAGATGACATCCTCGGGAAGACAGGAGGTGGTGACCAGAGAGATGCTCTGAAATTCATTTTGAAGGTCAGCACAATGTTTCTTTCTTTCTCTCTCTCTCTTTTTTTTTTTTTTTTAAGATTTTATGTATTTATTTATCTGACAGGGAGAAAGAGAGACAGCACAAGCAAGGGGGAGTGGCAGGCAGAAGGAGAAGCAGATTTCCCTCTCAGCAGGGAGCTGGATGTGGGACTCCATCCCAGAGGACCCTGGGATCATGATTATGACCAATAGGTAGAGAAAGAGACATATGCTAGTAAGAAACTCAAGGAAATGAGAGGTCAGAGATGAGTCTTCCATGTGGATATTTTTCACCAACAATAATGGGAGGAGGGTGATGGGCACAAAGACAGTGAGTGAGCTGGGAGTAAAATTTTCAATACATTCAGAAGAATAGGCAGTAGGATATAGTCTGACGGCATCTGCTTTCAAAGTGCTTCAGTGCATGAAGAGAAAAGAAGCTGTCTAGAAGTGGTGATGAGGATGAAGAACGACATTAACTCCACTCCAGACACTGAGAAGAAACAGTGACCACCTAAGAGTATATCCTTATACGCTCCTTAAGAAGCAATATCCTTAGGGGAATGTCCAAGAGTATCTGAGCAGGGCTGTCCGACAGAATTTTTTTGTGATGATGGAAATATTCTATACTCATGCTGTTCAGTAAGATAGCCACTAGCCACAGGTGCCTACTACACCCTTGAAAAGATGCTAGTCTTCTTCTTCATCTCTGAGTCTTGAGGAAAGGGGGCAAGGGTAGACATGCGTCTAGTTAAGTTTGTGGGTCTGGAGCAGGACGGTGAGATAAGTCACGCTTCGACAGCATCAGATTTTCAATAAGCAGGATTCCAAAAATTCATTTTAATTCATCTGTATCCTCCCAGACTAACTTCTGGACCATATCGTTATGGAAAACACTACAGAAAATCTCCTTTTAAAGCCTAAAATGTCACCACCATGTAAAAATTATTCCTTCCCATAAGAACGATCTGGTATTAACAGACTATCACTACTGCCTGTTTCTCTGGGACCTAAGTGTCCCTTCCCCGAAGACTGGCTTTCTATTTCTAACAAAGGGAGAAAAAAAAAATGTAACTTCTGAGAATTCCCTGTTAAAAGACGCTGCTTTTTTAGAAATCATGTTTCTTGATTTTTTTTGTGTTTTTATAAAAGAATATAAATATGTTCTTTGTTATCCAAAAAAAGGTAAAAGTATTATGATTGGCTGCAGCCATAAAACTATAATTAGTGTTTTAACAAATAATAAAATAGGGTCATGCACTCCCACATCTACCCCACCACACAGACACACTTCCAGAAAGGCGTTATGGTCATGCCCTTAGAGACTAAGCAGCAAACATACCAGCAAAAATTCTGTCAAACCGCCCTCATCAACCAAATGGGCAATGCCAATCTGGCCTCAGGACCACTCACCTACTGGAAGAATCTCAGGTTCAAGCAGGAGACAGGCAGAGTGCAGGTAATAGCTGAATATTTCTCCACACTGCATTTGATTGGGAATAAAGGAAAGTGAAATGCTTCTGATCAGTTTGTCTCTTAGTGTTTCCAATTCCCATTTCTTTGCAAAAAAAATACTAAAATATTCTCAGTCCCTAGTGAGGGGACACAGTTCCTGGTTTTTAAAACCCAAAAATATATAATTAAGAAACAACCTCTGTGGGGTTAATCAGCACAGCACTGTAAATGATTGGACTCCCTAGTAGATAAAGGTCTATTTCTTTTGGTCCAAGGCAGAATATTTTCCCTAAATGTTCTTGCCTAGATCCAAGGCCAAGCATGTCCATGTTGTCCTCCATATATTATAGGCTAATTCAGACTTAAATTTGACATAGAGAGAGAGCAAAAACGGGGAGCAGCGGGCAGAGGGAGAAGAAGGCTTTCTGCTGGGCAGGGAGCTCTATGTGGGGCTCCATCCCAGGACCACGGGATCATGACCTGAGCCAAAGGCAGACACTCAACTGACTGAGCCCCCCAGGTGCCCCAAAGGGTTTTCTGTATTAACCACACTTCTGAACTCTAGGGATTGGCCAGAATCAGGCAGAAGTGTCAAGAAATTAAGAGCCACAGAGGCCCACAACATTGGTGAAGTTGATTCTATGAGATGCCCAGCCTTGGATCCACTTTGGGTCCAGGGCACAGATTTATGCTTCCACCATAATAAAATCCATAGTTTCTAATATTTGACCCAGGGTTAGACTAAGAGACTATTCTTGCTCTTACTTTTGGTTTCTCCAATGGGACTTTGATCAACATGGAAACCAAAAATTATCCTGGTGCTAAGCCATTAACACCAGTCAGTTCACTATTCTATTCTGTGATCATTGCCAAAGACAGTCATTTTGTAACTTAATTTCACTGGGAACAAGAACATTCAAAGGAGAGTAAGTGAAGGGAATGCTTAAAGTGCATCTCAGCTTCTGAGGAGAAACCTTAGGAGTCACAGTGAAGACAGGCAAAAAGAGACTGAATTATTAATTCCCAGTGTTTCTCTGCCCACAAGCCCCCTCTGGTGGAGGAACTAATAGGTAATGAAATAGCTGTAATACCAATAAGCAAAGTTTAAAGTAAGGGCGGGGGGTGCGTAGATCGTGGTGGGGGTGGAGGGAGAAAAGGCAATCCACAACAAGACAATCAGCCCCTGTAGAACTGAGAGTCAAATGCAGTGATTAGCAATAAGAGCTGCGACTGGAAAACCACTTACAGATGAAGCAGTCTGACTAATGATTTACCAAAAGGTCAACACTGCTCTTTTATCTTCACCACCCATCAGTTTGCATTGCCTTCAATTTGTCTGGCACATAACAGAAAGCGGGCCATAAAATATTCACCATAAAAATTAACCTTATTTTGCAGCATTAAAAAAAGAAACAGAGTTGGATATAGTCTAAGCATATGGGACAGTTTCTCAGTTAGGATTCCTCATACACATTAGAAAAAGCATTGACATTTAAAACCCCATTCTAAGAGCTAAGGTACTCAGCAAGTACCAGAACTCTCTGCCCTGTGCTCGGTTTTGCTGATCCATTTTGAGTTCTCAAACAAGGAAAGGCCCAGTAATCCCCTCCCAAAGATCATAGTAGTGCCATCACTGGGGGTAGTGGTGGATAGTGGTGGACAGTGTCAGAATTTCCCCCTTTTAACTCTTCCGGAAGCCAAACTTCTCTACAGTGTCTGCTTGTAGCTGGTGTGGGTGCCAGGCTTTCAACCTCAACATGCCTACGATACATTTTGGCAGGTGAGTTGTGAGATGAACTACCTTCACGTTCTCATTTGACAACCTTTGTGCAAAAAGAAACAATGTCAGATGAAAATGCATTTTCAGGCAGAAGGGATTCTGAAAATTAACATACTGCCAGATGCCCTTAATCAGACCTGTAAAACTCATTAAAGCCATTTTAACTGAACCAACTCAGTTGATTCCATCAGAAAATTGGTCACTTCCCTCTTCCCTCTCCTATGTCCGTATTTACCAATTGCTTCTCTGATTTTGCCCAATCAGTAAGATATTTTGCATCCTGTAGAATAACCTAAGTTATCTGAGTTATTAAAGAATTCCTCGGGGTGCCTGTGTAGCTCACTCAGTTGAGCATCAGACTCTTGGTTTCCGGCTCAGGTCATGCTCTTGGGGTTGTGAGATCAGGCTCCATACTGGGTGAGCAGCCTGCTTGAAATTCTCTCTCTCCTCTCTCTCCCCTACTGCTCACATGCATGTGTGCATGCTCTTAGCACGCTCTCTCTCTCTTTCTCTCTCTCAAAAAAAAATCCTCTCCCCAGACTCTATTTAAAGAGAATAACTAAATATTAACTTACATCATTGTTATTTGCTGATTCTTTTTAAAGGGAGAATCAAAATGAAAGAAAAAAGGTCAAAAGAGCTCTGAAAAAGATAAACATAAGGATATTTACCACTGTGCTATTTATAATAGTAAAAACTGGAAATCCTAAATTTCAAACAAAAGAAGATTGTTCAAATTAATTATGGTATAGCCATAAAGAGGAATATTATGCAGACATTAAAAATTGTGTGGTAGAATATTTAATAGCATGAAAAAATAGTCATGGTATTAGTAAGAGGGAAAACACTGCAAAAACAGTACTGACAATGGTTATTTTTGGATAATAAGTTCAGCAGACACTGATTGGTCAAACTCAGTCTCTGTTAATAACCCCCTCTCTCCAGGACCCTTACAACTAGGAGGGATTTTATAAAATGAAATATAAGCAGAAGTCTGCCAGGTGGTCAAATAGGCCCCTTTTTGTGTGACTGATCTATACCACCCTGAACCAGCTGATCAATCCATGACCACAGATTACAATCTCAAAGATAATAGTGGGGGAAGAAGATAAAATATTGCAAATCAGCTGTTCGCTACCAAAAGAAACAACTGCAACTTGAGCTTTATATTCATCTTTTCCCCATTTGTTTTGGTGTCCATGTAGATGTGATCAAAGAATAGTCCCTAGGAATTTATGGAGTTTTATTAGAAGTTAAAGCTTTCGGTTGTATACAGAACAGTAAGCACCATTCCAAGAGAAGGAAGCCACATTACCTCTAGATCACCAAAACACAGGGTAGCCATCTTGAAAACAGAAAGTTCACTCTCCAAGTGCCCTGATCATAAGAATAAGTATAGGCATGTTTCTCAGCCATTTAGGGTCCAAATAAGTAAGCAAAGGATAATATAATATAAGTAAGTGACAGAAATATAAGTCCTGCCTGGGTTTATGCATATGTCTTATTGGAGGACCTATTATTTTATATGGTGGTAATGTGTCTGCATGTCTGTCTTCCCCTAGACTATAAGCTCCCTAAAGGTAAGGACCATTTCCTTCATCATTCCTAAAGATGCCCAAGCCTTCTTCCTTCCAAGATCTCAGAACGAAACTTAGATTCCAACTATAAATACCTACAAAACACGATATGAATTTTGACTCTAAGTCCTTCTTATATAAGTCATCCTATTTTAAACAACAACAACAACTTTTTAACATTTTCAAAATATCCTGAAGGGAGGGGGAAAAAAATCACACATTAAATTCTGTCAAGTAACATTTACCTCCTCAAGCCCTGACTAATCAGAAATGACTGGACTTGGCAGCTACTTTCATCACTTGGGCTGTAAGCTAAATTCAGTTCCTGTTGTGCCAACTGGAAAATGCCAACATCCCTTCCATCTCATACAACATCCCATCCTGCCAGTCACTCTAGAGTCTGGCAATCTGGTGAGACCACTCCCCATCAGATCAAATAGAAATTATAAGCCAAATTCACGGGGTCCAAGTAGACCCATTCCAGAAGAGCAATGGTGAAGTTTAAAGAGATTAGAAGGGTACCAGATTTATTACTATTGATTCCCTGTTAGCAATTTCATGAAAAGATATCCACTGCAGTTATATAAAGAGCATCTGGCTCATTTCCAACTCTTTTGTCTTCAAGTCCTTAAAAAAAAAAAAAAAAAAAAAAACCAAGAAGGATAAAAAACTAGAAATTGGTGCATAGGGCCCAAAGGTTTTCTCTAGACTAAGAAGCCTTCATCACTACACACCAATTATGCAAATATGCTCCTGCAGAGTCCAGTAAATTTATTTATTGAGCCTTACCACTGCCATCCTGGTAACCCAGGGAAGAAGCCAATCTATAATGACTCAAGCCACATTTCACAATAGACTCCAAAGGACACATGATGTCATTTGCTAAAATGACTCAATCCAGATGGAAAGCATTCTGACCTATACATAATTGATTGACCTTTGCTATGCTTTCCTGGTTATTTATATACTATCATATGCATGAATGTATATCAGTGGCATTTACACTTGGCAGCTACTTTTGAGAAAGCATTATTCAACTGGGATTTGAAGCTTTTTACGACCATTTCCTGACCAAACATTCATAAATGAAGGACAAGAAAAGATGTTATCTTAAAAATAACATTTAATAGGATCTGGAAACTCTAAAGAAGCTTTGTAGCTCTAATTGTTTTAAATTACAGTGGACAAGATCTATCTATGTAAAGCTAAGTTCAAAACTCTGAAACTAAGGATATTGAAGGGAATTTCCTCTATTTATCAGCTTGGTGCTCAATAATGATGGTAAAATATGCTTTACCAAAGGAGTGGAATAGCCTGGATGCTTGTGAGAAAAGTATCCTGTGATGCAGGTAACTAGAGGCCATAATCAATGACCAATGACCAGGGCACAACTATGTGATGTGATGCTTTTTAACTTTTTAAATTACGACTTTGGTTTCCTAAGAGGAGTAAGCTACAAATCAAGTCATATTCACATGATCAAGATGGGTTCAAGATAATCACAGGAGAAGAAAATGCGTAGATTAGGGAATGCAAATTTCTAGCACATACATCCTTACTTCCATTATGCAAACTCAGAGCAGACATCAGTAACTGATCACTAAATTCCTAGCTGAAGATCCTGATATGGATTTAAAACACTTTTCCAATAGTACTCCAGGTGAACACTAC